CGCCCCGTGCATAGATCCTTCACCAAGAAATAATTCGAAAAAAATTCAACCGAAACATGATTAGTTTTACATAATTTTGCAACTGAAACTAGGTTTCGACGTAAGCGAGGGGCACACAACACATTGGAAAAAGTTAATTGTCGATGTGTTGTGTGAATATATTTGGAGCCAGTATGAGAGATATGTAAACCTTTGCCATCACCGACAATGATTTCATCAGGGCCTCCATATTCGGAGACATTGTGAAGTACAGATCGATCAGATGTCACATGATGAGAGGCACCAGTATCAAATAGCCATGTTTGTGGAATCGTGGATGAGCCATTGGATGTGGTGACATTTGCAACTGGGTTTAATGATGGAGAGTTGGCAATGGGAATATTGTTGTCTTTAAGAAACCGAGACAACTTTCCGCATTCTTCAGTAGTGTGACCACGGATGGAGCAGAACTGGCAGAAAGAACCATTCCGGTTTTGGCGACTATCGATGGAATTGGTGGACCAGTTTGGTTTGTTGTTCCCTTGTTGACGCTGCAGGCCAGAGTTGAAGGGACGTTGATTCCGTTGAAATGAGTTGGAGTTTTACGGCCTGCCTCCTTGTCGAGCAGCGTAGTTAGCCGTAGGTACTATGATGTCGATGACTGGCGTAGCTTCTTTAAGGCTCCTTTCAAAATCAATTAGCTTGTTAAAGAGTTCTGGATAAGAGTGTGATATTTCACGAACTTTAATGGCGGCGACGATGGCGTAATATTCGTCTCCAAGTTAGGAGAGAATGTGAACCATGATATCTTCTTCTTCAATTGGACTCTGTGTATGGGCGAGGTCATTTGCTATAGATTTCGTATCTTGAAGAAATTCTTGAATGGTACAGCTTCCTTTCGGATTCTTGACTAATTTGGATTTTAGGGAGATGATGCGACTTCGTGAGGCACTTGCGTAGCTGGAGTTGAGCCACTTCCAGGCTTCTTAAGCGGTGGCCGCCGATGAGATGAGAGGCTATATCGATTCGGAACAGCTTCCTAGAATGGCACTGATGATAATCTGGTCCTGTTGAAACCAGGGTAAATATTCCGGATTCGGCTTGTTGTCAGCCAAGGTTTTCTTCGGTGGTTGTTCTGCGTCGTCAATGAAGGATTCAAGTTCTAGGCCGATTAGGGTAGACTCTACATGTTTTCGCCATATTGGGAAATTGGTGGAGGTGAGACGGATTGGAAAGTGAGTTGAGGCAGTGATTTGGCTTGGTGCCATTGATATTTGAGTGGAGGAGGAGACGATTAGGGATCCACTCGTTGGAGATGAACGAGCTCTGATAACATAAAGAGACTATCAAGAGGATTGAATATTATATCACATATTGATGTACATGGGATTACATTGGTTTATATAATTAACAGCTATACATGGTAAGGAGAAATAAATGGGATAACTATGGAAAATACAATAACCTTGATCACAAGAATATTCTAGAGGATCAAATCAAATATATCAAGTATAACCTTGATCACAAGAATATTCTAGAKRATCAAABCRAATATATCAAGTATCCGGTTTTGGTTTAGTCGTTATACCTATGGAAGAGGTTTTCGGCAAAAATTAAAAAAGAAGAAAGAAAGTTAAGAAAGGGAATACAAGATAAAATATGATGGGAACAGGGTGTAATAGCTATTGGAGTTGTAAAGTATCCATTTTTACCAGTAAAGGGGTTTCAAGTAAGTTTTTCCGGTTAAAGGGTTATCGGAGTTTATATTCATGGCCATAATGACGGTGTGTGTATGTATGTATGTGTGTATATATATATATATATAGAGAGAGAGAGAGAGAGAGAAACTTCTTCATTTGTTAACCAAGTAAATGATATTAACTATGTTAACCCATCCTGACCGTTTAAAAATTAGATCAATGGTTCAGATTCAATGGTGGAAAATTTGTAAATAGATTAAGAAGAGACATGTGAAACATGATGAAGCATAGGTGAAAATGGGTAAATGTGTAAAATGCATCAACACAACTGATTAGGAAAATAGCCACGTTTGCATTATCATTTCCTTAATTTTAGGGACGATAATTATGGATGTTATTAAATATTTTTTAAGTAAACGCTTACATTATCATTTCCTTAGTTTTAAGGGGATAAATGAATGTTATTGGGGATAATTATGGATGTTTCATAGCCCATGTTTTATATCGAGCGGGGATACACATTTTTGTTAGTTCATGTATGAATAAACGCTTCTTGAAAGTTTTTGTTTAAGTTTTTCATTTACCCAGTTTATGATTTTTCTTAGTTCATTGATGAACAATGGTGTAAGAAGTTAATAAAAATTAGTTCATGCATGAACAACCCTTCGAATACTTCTTTTTGAGTTCTTATTCATGTCTGAACAAACATACTATGTTCATAAGTGAATATAGGTGAAAACACAAGTTCAATATCTTCATATGTGCATAATAATTCTATGAATGTTCATCTGCTTGAGTATCTATCAGAACACGTCCAGAGAATTCATCTCTCATTTTCAGCAGAAAAATCGAGATATAACAAGATAGAAGATAACCAAATCGAAAATGTCTATTTGAAAAACAAAATACTCGACAAATAAATTCCATTTTTATCTTTTCTTAAAACATCGAAAAATAATGTAACCGTCAAACAATTAATTTTTTTAACAAAATACAAAATTACCACTATAATTAAAAACCAACGAAAATTAACCAAAACAAAGGAAGTCATGTGATTGATAAAGAGGAGTTAACAAAGCTAATATCATTTAGGAGGTTAAGAAATGATTGTCCCTCTATATATAATATATTATAAGGGTACTTGTGCAATGCATCGAGACACATCTCGATTTCAACGTTTCATTTTATTTTTTATCTACATCGATATAATATGGTTTTATGTAGTTTTGAAAAAGCGATAATATTTTTATTTTTGAATAAAATATAATAAAAAAATTATTTAAAAGTTTTTGTTTTGTGTAAGTTCTTTAATTCAAATTTTTTATTATAATTTAATTTAACGTAACAAAGTAATTTAATTTATGTTTAATAATATAATTTTCTTATAAAGATAATAATTATTTATTTTGTTAGAACTCAATAATTATCCTGATTATATTTTAAATTTTTTATATTTTTAAATGAGATGTTTATCCTTTATTTGATTATGTTTATCCGCAGTCAGTTACACGAATTCAAACATGGAGCTTTAATAAGTTATACTTATGCATAATTTACTTGTAAT